TACACATTAAAAATTTTCTGCAGTATTTTCTCCATTATAACACTTGAGTTATGTCTTTTTCATTTATATGATTTTGCACTTATACATTGTATTTTTCAAGGTGCTACAGCACTTTTTTCTCAATTAAGCATTATTTTCAATGAAATGGAAAAATTTTAAGTGCTTTGTTTCATTTGAGTAAAATTAAAGAAAGCAAAGAAAAAAAGCAAATCATTTTATTTCATTATATATTCACTTAAATTTAGTTCACACTGACAGTGAATTGCTAGCAAATGCAAAAAGCAGAGTGAATAAATGTACAGTTTGTTTCAGGAATCTTGATCAGACTTTAAAAATGTGCAGTAGCAGGGAGCAGTCTATTTAGTAAAGGAAGCAAATTGTCAAATAAGGTCACTGTTTGTTACCTAAAAGGTATCTTAAATTTACCAAACTTCCAGAGCCCTAATTGAATAACATATTGCCTAGCCAAGACGTAAAATAATCTGTACCATATGACACCATTTGTGACAAATTTTCATATTTTGCAAATTGCTCCACCAGTTTAAAAGTTTCATTATCAAAGGTCATTGCATTTGGCTTCAAAATATTTATTTTAATCTTTAACGTGATATGGGTGCTGTATATTTTATATATATATATGAAGTCACTTTAATCCAAAAACTTTTTGGTTGACAGTCTCACAGCACTTCCTGTTGAAAAATTAAGACTTTATTGCACAAATTGAACGAGTGTTATACAAATGCATTTTGGGTTGTTGTAAATTTACAACCCCTCTTCAGTGCTGTTAAAAAAACAACAGCACAGTTAGTAACATTACTTATATATTGTATAAAAAATTTTTTAAAACAAAGACTTGCATGTTTCATAGAGAAATAACATAAAATTTTCTACTTTCACATCCTTGTTTTCATTAAATATACATAAAACGTTCTTTATATTGCAAAACATAATTTATAGTAATGTGACTACCCAAGGGCATAGACAGTTGATCTATGTCACTTACGGGCACACAATCGCAAGATTGGCTCACTACTTTTTCTAGGAGAGCGTTATTTAGTTTAAAAACGATCTAGAGGATTAACTCTAGATCTCGTCAGGTTTCCCAACACCAGTTAATCGATTTTGTAGTGTATGCGGATTAACACGCGTGTGGAGATGATACAAAATGAACCTCTCATTTGATTCAGATACTGAGACATTTCCTTTTTACAAATAAAAACAAAGATTTAATGAAACAAAATAGCAAAATTATACAAAAATGGAATAATTAAAGTAAATGTTTCAAGAGAGAGAGCTCATAATTTCTACTGTAATCATACTACCTCTATGTCTATTTCTCTTTTACTGTTCTTTAAGGATTGACTTCAGTTCTTTCTAGTAGATCTTGCATGGCACATATTTATATATTTTCTTCTTTATCTACTGACTTAACGAAACATGGGAGTCTAATATGGGTGTTGGCCTTCAGGAGATGATATGGAATACGTCTTCCTTCTAGAGAATTTTGTGGCGTACTCCCTGATTCATGCAAAACTCTTTCTATTTCTCATGAGTTTTCTCCAATCAGTTTTTTGGATTCTCTCATGTGAACAGAGGAAAAGGAGATTTATCGAGGGGTTAACAATTCCCAGGGTGACTAAGATTTTAGCAGATAAATGGAAATAAAAGGATGTTTCAACTTCCATTGCAGGAAGTGTCTTTTATCAGTTTCCCTCGTATAGAAAAACATAATTTTCCCACCAATATCAAAGAATATTTTTTGTTAAAAATCTAACTTTTTATTAAATTATTAATTAGCCCATGGTTAATATAAAAATATAAAACATAAAAATTCTGTCTTTAGATTGTTTCCTTATTTCAATATGTTCTTTGAATTTCCTTTTGTAAATATTTTTCTCAACATGTAAAATTTTTATATTATTTCTATTAATTTTACAGTTGTTGTTTATTGTGTGGTTATACCATGGTGAATTATCGTATTTAAGGTGGATAGCGGCTTCGTGTTCTTTGATTCTTTTTTCTAATGTGCGATGCACGTTAGAAAATAGTACAGCTTAAGATATATTGCATTTGTGAAAACGCGAATATTGTACTTTGTGAAAAATCACTGTGCGATGTGTATATATGTATACATACAGAATATTAAATTGTAAATAATTTTTACCTTTTACTGTTTTACGGTTTTTTAAAAATTGTATTGTAATATAATGTAATTTACACTTATATAGTACTTTAACTAGAAGAACTGATGTATAGTTAACTTTTCTTGTAAAAATGAAACAAAAGAATACATAATACTGGATAAATTTAAAATAAAATAAGACCTAAAGTCATGAATTTTTACTTTTTTATAAATTATGTTTTATGCGATATAGAGAATGTTTTATGTATATTTAATGAAAACAAGGATATGAAAGTAGAAAATTTTATGTTATTTCTCTATGAAACATGCAAGTCTTTGTTTTAAAAAATTTTTTATGCAATATATAAGTAATGTTCCTAACTGTGCTGCTGTTGTTTTTTTAACAGCACTGAAGAGGTGTAGTAAATTTACAACAATCCAAAATGCATTTGTATAACACCCATTCAATTTGTACAATAAAGTCTTAATTTTTCAACCAGAAGTGCTGTGAGAAGTTACTTTAACCCAAAAACCTTTTTGGATTAAAGTGACTTCATATATATATATATATATATATATATAAATTTATTTTCGCGAAAGCAATTGGAAAACTACTACTATGAATTTAATTTTAGTCTTGTATTATTTAATAACGGTATTGAATATATTACAGTAGATTCGAACTCAGGAAAGGCTAGAGTAACTTTCTACAAAATATCTAATGCTTCATATCTTCGTTAAAAAATTTAACTGTTTGTTACAATTAATTTGTTTTGTAACAAACAGTTAAATTTTTTAACAAAGATATGAAGTATTAGATATTTTGTAGAAAGTTACTCTAGCCTTTCCTGAGTTCGAATCTACTGTAATATATTCAATACCGTTGTGACCGTAGGGTCGGCCCCTCTTTGGCGCCCTGTCAGGAGGACTGAATCTGACACCACCGAGTCTCTGGGGGACTCGGAAATTGCGACGTTACGTCTAAAGATTCGCGAGCGGTAGCGTGTGAGCGCTTGGATTCGGAGTAGAGGTGAGGAGAGAGACG